TCCGATCTCCTCCTCCTTCTTCTTCTTCTGCTTTTATCCAGGATCGTGCTTCCACAAAGACAGACGCGTCAGATGCCAGTGTGTGCTTGAGGATTTCCGTGTGTGTGTTTTTTGCGGCGCCTCGTTGTTTGTGTCACTGATGACATCACTGATGACATCACCCACATTGGCCTGTGTTCAAAACACTCCAGACACAAAAGTTTGATGTTTGCTTTTTAGAAGTTTATTCGTTTTTTACCCTTTCCTTCCTTCCTTCTTTTCTTGCTTCCTTGCTTCCTTGCTTCCTCGCTTCCTTGCTTCCTTCCTCCTTCCTTCATTTTGTCCTCCTTCCTTCTTTCCCTCCTTTCTTTCTTCCTTCCTTCCTTCCTCCTTCCTTCCTTCCGTCCATCCTCCCTTCCATCTTTTCTTCCTTCCTTCCTTCCATCCTTCCTTCTGTCCTTCCTTCCTTTCTTCTTCCTTCATTTCTTCTTCCTTCCTTCCTCCTTTCTTCCTTCCTTCCCCCTTTCTTCCTTCCTTCCTTCCTTCCTTCCTTTCTTCTTCCTTTCTTCCTTCCTTCCTTCCATCCATTCATCCATCCTTCCTTCCTTCCTTCCTTGCTTCTGCCCATCCATCTTTGCTTCCTTCCTTCCTTCCTTCCTTCCTTCCTTCCTTCCTTCCTTCCGTCCATCCTTCCTCCTTCCTTCCTTCCTTCTGTCCATCCATCCTTCCTTCCGTCCTTCCATCCTTTCTTCCTTCCTTCCTTCCTTCCATCCATCCTTCCTTCCTTCCTTCCTTCCTTCCTTCCTTCCTTCGTCTCCACTGCTGCTGAAGACGTGACACTGTTTGTCGTGGAATCGCTGCGGAGTCAACGGCCTGTGTCTGATGACCGCTCCGCTCCGCGCCGTTCCGCTCCGTGGTTTCACTAGCACCAAGTGTTGACTTTTGAAGGAGCCAGAACCGATTTTATACATGGATGACTTTATTCTGAGTGGGTCAGGACTAAATGAACGTCTGTTAATCGCTGTAATCTGGTCGCAGAGCCACGGTTTGATTACATTCTGAAATCTTGTCCGCACAGAATTAATTTACCACGACGTAAAAAAAAACACAAACAAAAAAAAAAAACGATGCATCGGAGGAAAAGTTTGTGAGTTTGTTTTCACGGCAACGAACGCTCACAGAGTTCAACAAATGCAAACAGGAAGATGACGAATGGATAACGAACGGACCAATCAGTGACGAGGATGTCGTTTACAAACAATGATACGGTTACAGTGTAGCAGTGTGATGAAGTGGTGTCAAACACATGGTTCAGGGCCCACATTTGGCCCGGGTTAGATGTCAAGTGGGCGTTTTTTTCACTTCCTTTCTTTCTTCTTTCCTTCCTTCCTTCCTCACTTCCTTTCTTCCTTTCTTCCTTTCGTCTTTCCATCCTCCTTTCTTCCTTCCTTCCGCCTTCCTTCCTTTCTTCCCCTTTCCTTCCGCCTTCCTTCCTTCCTTCCTGCCTTCCTTCCTTCCTTCCTCCCTTACTTCTTTCCTTCCTTCCTTCATTCCTTCCTCCCTCCTTTCTTCCCTTCCTTCTTTCCTTCCTTCCTTCCTTCCTTCCTTCCTTCCTTTCGTCTTTCGTTCAAGGCCCACATTTGGCCCCGATTAGATGTCAAGCGGGCGTTTGTGCATTTTTTTTCACTTTCCAATTCATCAAGCGGGCCGGTTTGAACCCCACAGTGGGTCGTTTTTTGGCCCGCAGCCCCTATGTTTGACACCCCTGTTGTAAAGGAGTGTCACCTCCCTGTGTGACTCATACCTTCGTTTGTCTCCCGTCGTCAACGGTTGCTAACGTTTGCTGAGGATTTTCTCCTCCAGGAAAATGTCTGTTGTTTTCAGAGCGTCAGTGTTTGTGTAGAACAAACTGGGAGGAACCTCCGACGTTCCGACGTTCTGACGTTTGGACGTTCGGACAGTTCTGTTGTTTGTTTCCTTTCTTTCTTTCTTTCTTTCTTTCTTTCTTTCTTTCTTTCTTTCTTTCTTTCTTTCTTTCTTTCTTTCTTTCTT